GACAATAATATTGACTACAACTAATTGTACCAAATGCTATGATAATTATACAGTACATGCATGTAGTAGTGCATTATGGAAACATGCACCAAGAACCAGCCACAATGTCAGAGTGATATATATACATGACATAAACATGCATACAATCTCTGGTTGTTAATAATTATGTTAACCCTATTAGTTTACCAGTATCTGTCAATTTAACAGTGATTATCAGAACTTGATAACAAAAAGTACTCCTCAAAACAAACTATTCAGCTATTTGAGGAACAAAAAAATATCACAAAATTACATTTTCAGATTTTACTGAAAAAACTTTAAGTAACGTGTATTGTTGACATTTACTAAACAAAAGAAATACACATACATGTATCACATATGATTAAAAGTATGGGCAATAAAAGGAATACCTGTTACATTTACACAACAGTATTCTATCAGAGCCAAACTACTACTCTTCCGACCGATTAACAGGAGATTATCTCCAATGAGTTTACATGGTCGGGCCAAACGAGAGCTAAGATCCACTGGAGTTCAATCGTTGGCCTGATGCTTTTACATGGTTGGAGCCGTGTCAGGGTCCAAACATATTAGAGCTCAACCCAGAGGGAGTCGAACTTGACTCAAGTTGAACGTGTATACACAGCCATTTTTGCTGGCTCGAGACATAGGGCTCCGATAAAATACTGTCGTTTAAACGCAGCAATAGGGGGGAACAAAACATTCACAACACAAAAAAAATTTGCGTACTGCCAACAACAAAATTACAATACAATAGTGCCTGCCACATGAACAATACAAATATGTAATTATATTAAAATATACATAATATTGTTGATTAGAAACTGCTTACACTATATATACATGTATATATCATGCTGCATGTACAAAAGATACTGAGATTTACAGTAGCATGCAAATTTACATATAGCAGTTAGCAATACCTACCCCTGTGTGACATCACTATCACCTGTTTTACTAGCATTATTAGAAGCTGGTTTAACATCCCTGTGGCAATACAATGTATTTTGGTTAGGACTAAAGATTAACATTCATACAAATTTTCAGTGTTAAATCAATAACAGTGCTTCCTCTACATATAAACCAAATGGCTAAAGGGGAATCCACCTAATTAGCCATTTGGCTTGACTGCATTTCTACGGTATACACAATTCTTGTCAACCCATAGAATGTCTTGTTTTTAGTTTAAATATTTTAGTCTTTCAAACATAAACTTTGAGAAGATCAAGTCATTATTGTCAGTGAAACAAAAAAACATGTCTGAGTAACAGCTGACATACGTTTTTTGGATGCAAATACTAATTTCGTCAAAACCCCAAAACAGTTTTAAAGAAAATGCAAACACTAACCCTAACAAATTTGAACATATCTGTCTTGGGGGAGAAAGGTAAGAACAGAGAGCGGCCAGTCATACAATTTAAATAAAATCACAAAACAAAATGATGAGCATCAGTAACTCATCATGAGTGATACCAATACCAAATTTGAAATGGTTTATAACATGTTGAAATTTTGTGATCAAGTTTTCTGGTCGATTAAATTTTATTAAAACATACAAACAATAGAAGAGCATAAAGAAACAAATTTCTTTGTCTTGGCGAGAGTGTAAATGAGAAATACAAAATGAAGTGCATCAGTAACCCACCACAATGTTTAGACTAAATTTTAAATTGGCTTGGGCATTACAGTGGAACAGTTGACGACATGTTGATGCTTTTTTTTACAAAAATGGCTGCAAGTCAAATGCCAACAAAATGAGAAACAAATTAAAGTACAACGTACAATGCCTATGTATACCATTTTGTCTTGGTCTTGTACCAAGAAATGATGTCTGTCTGACTGTATGGTTTTTGAGACTTCAATAGTGTTACAAGCAGAAATAGAAGTATAGAGGAAACACTGTTATTAATATTACTGACACCAAAAGAATAAAAACAATGCATTCTTACTACATGTACTAACCTGGAGGTTCATTCATGTGAAATGGAGAACTGGTTAGGATTTGAATTGTAAATATTTTGTTAGAAGTACCTAGACAGTCAGTTATGCTATGCTATGAAGAATGCACTTGTTGACAATTTTTTTGGTATCAATACAGTTCAACATAATGTTGTATTTAACCTGTAAAATGCTTACACTTGGTATATTAACAAATGAGTTATAAAATATTCTAGAAATGACTAGCATTCTCTTAAGTAACATGCATAATAAACTGAACTCACAAAAAAGTGCCAATAAAACAAACATATTGAAATAAAATTCTGATCAAGGAAAATCACATATCATTAGGGAATGCAGACAAATTTGACTGCTCTTACTATTGGGACCGTGACATTAGTAGAAAAAAATTGCCTGTGGGGCGGCTTATTAAATTTTATGTGCGAAACTAAGTTTGGAAAGTGCATACTAGCAAACTATTCTAAGCATAGAGCAAAAGTAACAGAAAACAAGAACTTTATATATAACAGAACCAATCCAAAATATTTAAAAATAATTAGTTTTATGCATTTTTTGGAGGAAAGTAGGGTATTTAGGTTTAAAATACAAAACAGTTAAATGATAGAACAAGATGCAAGAAGACTGAGAACTTAAAAGGAAGCACCTACCCAACACCAGATTGAGTGACAGCAGGCTGAAGTGGTTTGTCAGTTTTAGCTGGGGGGTCATGCTTAGATTTTGGTACAATTTTGGATTCTGGTTCAGATTTAGGTTTAGGCACAGGTTCTGGTTTAGGGGGTGGTTTTGGTTGGGATTCGGGTTTAGGACTAGGTTCAGCCTTGGATTTGGGTATAGGCTCTGGCTTCACACTACCAGAAACTGCTTTATTAGTCATTTGTGGTGTAGTGGTTTTCTCTCTGCAATAAGCAATGGTTAACAAATAAAATAGGATAGCTGACAAGAACAAGCCAGAGAAGTTATTGAGTTTCATAGATAGAAGAAATATATAAAAATTAGAAGAAAAATAATGTTAAGAAGTCAGAGAACTGAAATTGCATGGATTATCTGGTAAGAAAAAATAATACTGATTATGCCCTGTATAAAACAGAACATTATAGCTACAATGAAAATAAATACCAAAGTTAACAGCAAAATGATATAAAAAGCAGATATGTATTAGTACACACCTACAGCATAAATAAGCTAATTTGTTATAATTTGTGATTTACAGTAAAATTCTTGAATGTTATCACGATATTTCATATATTTATTCTTTGACATGTTAATCTATATATTTGTTTACTTAGCAAAGTTTATTGTAAATTTTATTTTAAAGACGAAATTAAAAATGTAAAACTTTCTACATGATCGGAATACATTTTTTTTTTATCAATGGTACCTTTTTAAGTGTTGATGAAAACGTATCAAAATATGATTTTCGTAATAAGTTACAACTGAAACATATCTCATATTATTCAAATTATATCAAAGTTCACGAATCATAGAATACACATTTAGGGCTTGAACTTCAGAGTTGAGAAGGTGTCCATTTACAAAGTAAAAATTGATAAAAGTGCCATGATGTATACAAATACTATAGGGAAAATCATAATTTTTCGAATGGCAATATGGCAAACTCTTAGAGCATAGAAGTAATTGCATTTGTTACCTCAATGAAGTTCAAACACTGAACATTCAAAAATATGCATTGCACATATTAGTTGATAAATTCTAGTAAATAGATAGCTTAGTTTTTCTATTAAAAAATTAGATTTTTAAACCAGTATTGTCATGATTCAATACAAATAATAACCATCTCTGAAACCTTCGAAATCATGTGTAGCAGATAGCAGTGTCAAATTAATTAAAATTATTGATTTATCTCTTACAAGAAGGTTTTATTAAAACTTGATTCATGGGCAAAATCTTGGCAATAAACATACAACAGGGATGATGCATGATCCCAAAAAAGTGCTACATCCGGAAATTTTCACTCACAAAAATAACCAACATTTATGTATAATATAGGAAATTATTGCTGCTCTAGGAAGTACCAGGATGTGACCTTTTTGGGAGGTCATGCATGAGGCTTATTCAGCGCAAGTTAATATCAGATTACAAAGACAGCTGTTCATAAAAAAAGGCACATTTTCAAATAAACCC